AAAAAAAAAATTATATTGATTCGGTCATTTTTAAAAAAGTTATGGCAATTTTAAGTAAAAAAAAATGAAAAAATATCGAAAATTAGCGATTTTTAAATTTGTAATTTTTTGGGGGATTTCCCCCGTTTACGAGGAACGAGGGATTTTTTTTCAATTTTTGAGGGTAATGTCTTCAACTAGATACGATTTGTGATCTTTTGACATATTTTTCATCAAAATCGGTTCAGTGAGAGCTAAGATTGAGCGTATACAGACACAAAAAAAAAAAAAAAAAACACATCATAGTAAAATTAATACCTTCTCAGCTTCGCATCGAAGCTAAAACTAATAGGAGCAATTTATCAATGAACTATGTCATATAAGGTACCAAAATGAGATCAATTACAAATATTTAATTTTGTGAATTTTAGTGTGATTGTTTAATTTGAGAAACTAGATAGTTTCTGAGAAGACAAAATAAGTTTAAGTTGAGGGATTACAAATGTGAGTAAAGACAAAATTTGTGAACAAAAATTTGAATTTAGCGACTGATCGACAATGGATTTTAATAATTATAGGTTGATTTACATGACATTGTGGAAACATTCATATTGCTTCACACGTCCGTGCACTAAAAGCACTCGAGCAGCCAGTTCAGCATTGGGATGCCTGGCTAGTAACTCTTATGTGTAGTCAGTTACATGCCATTACTGCCGGCGAATGGCAATTGCAACAAACAAATAATGAATTGCCCACTTATGCAGCAATAGAATCATTTTTAGCAAAACGTGTTTCTGCCTATGAAGTTGGTGCAATTTCTAATTATGTAGAAAAGAGTATTCGGTCTAAAAATATGAGTGTCAACAACAAGACTTTCTTTACTCGTTCTAGTGAGCAAAATTCAATGAAGTGTCCACTTTGTACAGGTGCCCACCGCATATATGCATGTGAAAAATTTACTCAGATGCCAATTTCTGAACGACAAGCCACAGTCATGCGTTTAAAGTTGTGCTTTAATTGTTTAAATTTGGGTCNCATGCGTTTAAAGTTGTGTTTTAATTGTTTAAATTTGGGTCATCAAGTAAAATCTTGTAAATATCCTAGTTGTCCGAAATGTAATAAGCGACATAATTCAAAACTGCACGAGGAATCTGCATCTTTTGTTACCAACGAAGATTACCATAATGAGCAAACTAACATTCAAGGGAGCTCTGCGGTTCTTTATACTGAAAGTGTGGGTATTGTTAAAAATCAAAGTAGTGTAATGTTAGCTACTGTCTTGATTTATGTAAAAGATAGTGTGGGTCAACGTCATTTATGTCGTGCCGTTCTAGACTCGGGATCTCAATTGAATTTCATAACTCAGTCCTGCGCCAAGAAGCTTAACTTATCTTTGTCTGACCATACATTTAATATTGTTGGAGTTTCATCTATGTCATCGACAGCCAAACGTCTCAATACAACAACAATTTTTTCTAGACTTGGCAACTACCAATATAATGTTAATTTTTACTCAGTACCAATAATTGTCAACGCCTTACCGTCACAGTATGTTAATAGGAATTCAGTGATCATACCTGATCATATCAAGCGACATTTGGCAGACCCACAATTTCACCAGCCAGGGCCCATTGATATATTAATAGGAGCGGATGTATTTTTTGACATCTGGCTTGGTGAAAAATATTCGCTTCCTCACAGTACTATACTTCATCAAACCAAATTTGGTTGGGTAGTTGCAGGGAAATGGCCTGGTATTGCCACAACTTCATTACAATCTAATTCATGTATGCTTAATGAACCTGCCTGTTTATTTTCAACTACTAAGTTCGCTCAGCGCACCCAAGAAGAAAAGGCAGCTGAGGAGCATTTCAGCACAACACATAGTCGTAATTCTGATGGTCGGTTTGTGGTAAGGCTCCCATTCATGCAAAGTTCATCGCTTTTGGGTGATTCTTTTAGCATGGCACAGAGACGGTTTTTTAATTTAGAACGCCGATTAATTAAAAATCCTGCCCTAGCTAAACAATATGATGATTTTATGAAGGAATATTTAGTTATGGGACACATGGAACCCGCTGAACCTATTAATGATGAACCTGTTTATTATTTGCCCCATCATGCAGTCTTTAAACATGATAGTACCACCACCAAACTTAGGGTAGTCTTTGATGGTTCAGCTACTACTACATCAGGGTTATCTTTAAATGATATACTATTAAAGGGACCAAAGGTGCAATCTGACATCTTTCATATATTATTACGTTTTCGTTTGCATCCTATTGCTATCACAGCAGATGTGGCTAAAATGTACAGGCAGATTTTGTTACATAATAGTGACTGTAACTTGCAAAGGATACTTTATCGTTCTCAACCTGTTGAACCATTACATGAATTTAAACTTCGAACTATTACTTATGGTACGAAAAGTGCTTCATTTTTAGCTACGCGTTGTCTAACTCAAATAGCACAAGAATTGCCTTGCACCATAACCCGTCGGATAATAGCTGAAGATTTTTATGTGGACGACCTAATCAGTGGTGGAAGTACTGAGGAAGAATGTTATACCATTTACGAAAAGCTCCGTTCAACGTTAAAGGATTTTGGTTTTCCTTTGCGTAAATGGTGCTGCAGTTCCCAGGCCGTTATGGATAGATTTGCAAAGGCAGAAATGGACCCTATTTTATGGTAGAATTGAAGGATAACGAAGTTATAAGTGCTCTTGGTTTATTGTGGCAACCGTCATCGGATAGTTTCAAATTTATTATGAAAGATTGGTTACCTTCACATAATATGACTAAAAGAAGTTTATTGTCAGATGTAAATAGTGTTTATGACCCTATTGGTTTAATTTCACCTGTTCTAATTAAGGGTAAAATTTTCATTCAACAATTTTGGGGCTTAAAAATAGATTGGAATGAAACATTGTCAGAAGATTTAAAATCTCGTTGGATACAATTTTATTCAAATTTAAAACTGTTAAGTAATTTAACTATACCTAGAAACGTAATAAGTACGGAAGGCTGTAGTATGCAATTACATGGTTTTTGTGATGCTTCACAAAATGCATTTGGTGCTTGTATATATATTCGGTCATATAATGATGATGGGTTATGTCATGTACACTTGTACACTTCTAAATCAAGAGTAGCTCCTCTCAAGGCATCAACAATTCCCAGGCTTGAATTATGTGGTGCGCTACTATTAGCAGAACTTGTAGTTGAGGTTCAGAAAGAGTTGACGAAGTTAAATTTTGTTGTTCCACAACGAGATGTATATGTATGGACCGATTCAACTATTGTGCTTGCCTGGATTCAAAGTCAGTCCATTTTTCAAGTTTATGTTTCAAATAGAATTGCCAGAATCAATGATGTGACTTCTCCTACTCAGTGGCGATACACTCCAACTACTACCAATCCTGCTGACTTAATCACTCGAGGAGCTGATACAGAGCGTTTTAATTCATGCACATTGTGGTGGAATGGTCCTCACTGGTTATCTCAATCGGAAGATAATTGGCCTGTGATTTCAAATTTGCCAGCAAATTTACCTGAAATGCGACCGATAAAGTTAGTGTTATCAACGGCAGCAGATAGATCGCAATGGTTGCTCAATAACTATTCCAAGTGGTCAACGCTCCTTCGGGTAACGGCTTTCATTCAAAGGTTTGCTATTAATTGCAAAATCAAAAGAGACAACGCAGTACAACGTAAAACGGGTCTTTTGAGTCTTTCCGAAATAAAATTAGCTCACACCTTTTTGTTATTAAAAGCCCAACATGAAGCGTTTTTAAACGAGATATCATCACTTAAGACTAACAATCCTGTTCATGGTCGCAGCTGCCTCAAATCACTAAATCCATTCATTGACGGCGATGGCCTCATTCGGGTAGGAGGAAGACTTGAGAATTCTTCTCTATCATACCATGCCAAACATCCGATTGTTTTACCTTCNTCTATCATACCATGCTAAACATCCGATTGTTTTACCTTCTACCTCAGTGGTAACACGGTTGCTTTTCGAACATGAACATCGGCGTTTGATGCATGTTGGCCCTCAGGCATTACTTACGCATATGAATAATACGTATTGGCCTATTCGTGGAAGGATTATTGCTAGAAAAGTTGTTTGGAAATGTATTCAATGTTTCAAGTCCAAGCCGCGGTTCAGCTCCCCTTTTATGGCAGCTCTTCCTCGTGAGCGAGTCACTTTTGCACGGCCGTTTACTCGCACCGGAGTGGACTTTTGCGGTCCTATTATGGTTAAAAGTGGATTGAGAAAGGTGACCCCAATTAAATGTTATGTGTGTGTATTTGTGTGTATGTGCACCCGAGCAATACATCTAGAACTTACTTCTACTTTGGCAACAGAAGATTTTTTAGCAGCATTTAATCGCTTCATTGCACGACGGGGACAATGCTCAGATTTATTCAGTGACAACGGGACTGGTTTTGTTGGGGCTAACCGAATATTACAAGACCAATTTCTCGCTTTACAAAAATGTAAAAAATTGAGTGATTTCTTGTTAAACCTTAGTATCACGTGGCACTTCATACCCCCTTCTGCGCCGCACTTTGGTGGCCTTTGGGAGGCGGCAGTGCAATCTGCCAAATGTCATTTGCTGAAGGTAACTAAGGGAGTAATGTTGAAGTACGATGAAACCGTTACGTTATTATGTCAAATAGAGGCTGTATTAAATTCCCGGCCTCTTTGCCCAAACTCCACTGATCCTTCAGATTTCAACGTTCTCACGCCTGCTCATTTCCTGGTTGGTGGTTCCTTGTTACTTCCAGCAGAACCAGATGTTTCCTCTGTGCCGCAAAATCGATTAAAAAGGTTTAAACTCATGCAGTCTTTATTTCAAACCTTTTGGAAAAGATGGGTTGGTGAGTATCTGCCTCAACTTCAACGCCGAGGCAAATGAATCAAAATGAAGCGGAATGTTATCATTGGTGATTTGGCAATCATAAAGAATGACACTGTACCGCCTTACCAATGGCCGTTGGTTCGAGTAACTGCTGTTCATCCAGGAACCGATGGAATTGTTCGTGCCGTTACTGTGAAAAATTCTGGCGGAGCAGATTTTAAACGTCCTGTGGTAAAACTTGCTTTTCTACCTACTGCTGAAGATAATGAACTGGATGAAAATAACCCCCCATAATATTGTTATCCCATTAATTAGTTGCCTAATATTGTGATATGGCCTAATATATGTAGTATTTTTATGATGTAAAAAAAAAAAAAAAAAAAAAAAATTGAATTTTGAATGTGTTATAGTAATTAATTAATTTGTATTTGAAATAATCAATGTATTCGTATTATTAATATTATTCATAATTAGTGTAATTAACATGTATTATTTGTATTTTTATGTGTTTTCGATGTAAATTTTACTTATTTAGGTCATTAATTATTTTATATGTTATTGAATAATTATTTTCCGCTGTTAGTCATAAATTACTTCAGTTCCTATATATGTGATTTAAACTTAGAAATTTATATGAGCCATGTAATTTTTTTTCAATATTTGTTATTAGAAACTGAAAGATGTTATGAGTTCATTGTTGTATAAATTTTAGTTGTTATATTACCAATTTAAATGTTCAATGTTAACTATTTATAGTTCTTCAGATAAATTCATTAGTCATACTTTGTTATTTTATGTATTTTGGTTTGAAAGGCTCTGCTACCTTTCAAAGGGGGGTGCATGTTCGCGCCGAGTGTGCGAGCTGCACTGATTGCGTGTAATCAGGTGGTAGCGCTTGTGCGCTATCACCTGTTAAGACGCTTTATCAGTTTAGTACTGTGTGTTGTTCGGTCGATTTTTTTATTAAGGGTGTAATGTGTTCCTGTAGTAGTAAAAATAGTCAATTTTTTCGATGGTATTCAATAAAATTTGTTTTGTTTTTGTTTTGCGATTGAGTATATAAAAAATAATTGTTAATTTTTTAATTTTACTATTCATTGTATTTGTAAAAACTCACTTGAATATTAGTCAATATTGCATTTGTAAAACTACAGTAGAGTTATTATCAATTCAGTATTATTATTGTGCATTGTGATCGGGACGGTGATGTATTAATTATGTTAATTTTATGAAATATAAACAATTCATGTCGAAGTTTAGTTTTACTTTCAGGTAAAATTTCCTATAGTTGTGTATGTTCATTTATTACTTTCAGTTACACAGATGATAGTTGTTATTTAAATCGGTAATTTATTGTGTTATATAGCTAACCATTGTCCTAATTGTGCCAAAACGACACTTATTAATTAAATTATAATTAGAAATCAGCCGTACGGCAAAGTTCTAATGCCCATGTATATCTGGGATTTTTGCTTTTAGAACAGCCCAGGCGGCAACAAATTTATTAAATTAATAAATAAATATTTATCATAAGTTTGTTAAATAATGCAAGATTAATTCACAACTGTTAATATATATTTATATACAAATAATTTTTATTAAACTGATAATTAACTTATTTGTTCTTGTTGCGTCTGGTTCAATATGTATAATAAATAAATTGATAATTACGAATGTTTATTAATTGTGGACTGTATCTTTTTATTAAATATTTTATTGTAAGCTGGCGATTTGTCCGCGCGCGTACGTATATCGAGCATAACTGGTCTTATATTGGTCGGCGACCATCATTATTATTGGTATCGCTTAATCGCGTGATAACGAGCGCGAACACACCGCCTACCTTGAAATAACACATTTCAATAGAATCAATATAAAGTACATATAAATAATAAGATTATGACAAACAATTGACCCACATTCATGGCCAAAAATATAAACAATAATTCTGTAAAACATTCTCAGATAAATAACAAATAATTAGAACTTAGAACTAACATATCATGCTTTAAATAAATTACAAATAATTAAATTAATATATAAATAAATAATAAAAATTAAGGTAACTAAATTTAGCAACAAACATTAACTTCAGGACACTTTAACAATGAACATATTTTATAATAGAGATACAAATAATATATAATACNACTTCAGGACACTTTAACAATGAACATATTTTATAATAGAGATACAAATAATATATAATACATTACATACATAAAAATAAAAATAAAAAACAACAAGAATTTATATCACAATATTTAGACTAGATATTATTATTATCTTTTTTTTTCAAATCATAAGCATTTTAACATAATTTACTAAACATACATTTTAAACATTTTTAATTATTTGAACTTGCTGTACAATTTCCCTCGAAAGGTAATGGACATAATTGACGAACAGCTCGTTTATATACACCGGTTGCTGTACGGATAGTAGCCACTCGTACGACGCCATCAGAACCACTATGAACTTCCATTATTCTTCCAATTGACCATTTTAAAGGGGGCAAGTTTTCATCACGCATGAGAACTACAGTGTTTTTCTTCAAACCAGGACCATTTGATTGTGACCATTTTTTTCGCTCTTGTAACTGATTGAGATACTCGTTCTTCCATCTAATCCATATTTTTTGCGTAATTTGAACAACACGCCTCCAGCGAGTTAGTCTGTTCTCCATAATATTCGTTACGTCACGTTCAGGAAAAGCGGATAGCGAGTCACCTATCAAAAAATGACCAGGTGTTAAAACCGATAAGTCACTTGGATCCGTGGATAAAGGTGTCAACGGTCGCGAATTTAATATGGCTTCTACTCGAACAAGTATTGTATATAACTCTTCATAGTTAAACAGAGCATTACCAATCGATTTGAGCAAATGTGCCTTAACAGATTTAACAGACGCCTCCCACAATCCGCCAAAGTGAGGACTACGGGCCGGAATAAAATGCCATTGAATTCCTTTATTACTTAATTCATTTTTAACTTCTGGTTTAGCTAAAAGTTCATGCACTTCTCGAAGTTGTCGATTAACCGCAATAAAGTTTTTTCCGTTATCTGAATACACGTCCGTACAATAACCACGTCTATCACAGAATCTCCGTAACGCATTAAGGAAAGACTCCGCTGTCAAATCGCCTACTAATTCTATATGAATAGCTTTTGTGACAAGACAAACCCAGATACTGATATACGCTTTAGTCTTAGGCGCGTTTCTTCGCAAACTAGACCGCACAAACACTGGACCAGCAAAATCTACGCCACATTTAACAAAAGCTCGCGCTGGTTCGACTCGGTCCTTAGGTAAGTCACCCATGATGGGCTCAAATACAACCGGTTTGTATTTGAAACATTTGACACATTTTCTAGATATATTTCTGGCTATATTACGTCCATTAATCGGCCAATATCTCAAACGTATATTAGCTAACATCGCTTGTGGACCGGCGTGTAATGATTTTTCGTGTTCATCCAGAAATAATAATTTTGTAAAAGCACTATCAGCGGGTAACACTATCGGATGTTTTTGAAAAAATGATAGTGAGACGGCATGTTTTAATCTACCGCCTACCCTGATTATACCATCGTCGTCTAGAAATGGTCTAAGACGAAAAAGTTTACTTTTACTGGACACTAATTTTGAGTTTTTTAAGTCACACAACTCAGTAAAAAATTCTTCTTGTTGCGCTACCTTCACTAATCGTTTAAGGGCATTTTCAATTTCTGTAGCTTCAACAGGACCATAAATATTAGTGTCACTCGATAAAAAATTAGACTTCACACGAAGACAATAAGCCACAACACGTAAAAGTTTACTTAATGAAGAAAATAATTTAAAAATTTGATTAAAAGAATTATTTTCCGTTGTTAAGAATAAATTAGTAATTACTTTTTCTTCAGACAAATATTCACTTTTAGAAGTAAGTTCTTGAAAGTTACTTGGCCATTGAGTATGTTCCCCTTTCAACCAACTAGGTCCGTTCCACCATAAATCTAAACCTTTCATTTGTGATGGAAAACAGCCTCTTGACACTATGTCCGCTGGATTGTCGCTGGACGCAACATGCCTCCATTGTGAAACAGACGTTAACTCTTGTATTTCACTTACTCTGTTTCCCACAAAAGTTTTCCAACGAGACGACGGAGATAATAACCAATTTAATACCAGTGTCGAATCTGTCCAATAAAAATATTCATTTATAGGTAACTGTAATTTTGGTGCATATTTTGACATAAGGCGAGCGCCAAAAGCGCAGCTAACAGTTCGAGCCGAGGTAACGAAACTACCTTTAATGGCGCGACTCTTGATTTTGCACACAATAAATTTATTACTACTTTACCATAAATTTCTGAACAAAAAACATATTTATGCGTTCGAAATCTAATCATTATTTCGGTGAGTTCTTCTTGTATACACGGACACTTAAATAAAACGTCATTAAGACTTACACCGTTGTCGGTTTTACAAGAAGCGTCAAATACAACTCGTAGTTTAGTTGTATGGCTACTCTCTTTATAAATTGCATGATGCGGTATATAATATGTGTTTTTAGTACTTTCGTCTCTCAAAATTCTTTCCATGTGATTTAGTTCTAGATATTCGTTTATAAATTTAGAATAAAGATTTTTGAGTTCAATATTAGTCTGCAGTCGCCGTTCTAATGATAAAAACCGTTTTAAAGCTATTTGATACGATTCACCTAGTAGGGAATGATCCTTGAACGGCAATGATACAACAAATCGTCCGTTTTCATTCCGTTTGGTATTATTTTCAAAATGCAACTGGCACGCCTTTTCATCTAAACTTAAAACGTTTTTAGTTTTGACCTCTTCTAATTGCCAAAATTTCGCTATCTGGTCATCTAAATTAATTCGGGCGTTTATATCATTTTCAACTACATCTTGTTGGTGTGGTAATACAGTAGTTGCGAACATAGATGTAGTGAAGCTTGCTGAGATAGGACCGGACACGATCCAACCGAACTCAGTCTTTTGTATAACGGGACCATTTTCAACCGTCTTTATTTGATCGGAATACATTAAGTCAAAGAAAATTTCAGCTCCAATCAGCATATCTATTCTTTGTGGTGTGCCGAACAGCGGATCGGCCAAAATAATATCTGACGGTATTTTTAACTCCCTCGCATCAATACCCGATTGTGGTAAGAGACTGGTCAGCTTGGGAAGTGTTAAAAAATTCAAGTTTGTTTTAAAATCTGACACGCGAGATTTAATAATCGCTGATACCTGGTGTTTAACATTATTCGGTGATTCGTTTATTCCAAAAACAGAATACGCTACATTTTTTCTTTTCAATTTCAAATAATGGGCCATTGACTCGGTGAT